CTCTGACTAACTCAAGAATCTGTGCTCATCTTACGCAATGGATTTCTGACGCATTAAGTGTCCTTGTACACATAATTTTCACTATAAAATGCAAATACAGACTTTCTTTCTTTTTCGCAATATATTTCTATTTGCAATGCGATTCATAATATAATCTCATATTGTAATTTTCGACTAAATGGATAAAAAAAATTGTCGTGTCGTGCTGATGAGGCTTATAAAATGCCTGATTAAATTAATATAATGATCAAATGGAAGCACACGTTTTTTTAAGATATCCTTTCATATCTGCAGGTTTATACGAGGAATGCAAACGGTCTGAGAGGACATGTGGAGGCCTATGTTGCTGCTTTTGATAGACACTGGAATCTTGCGCTCGAAGATTGCCTTGAGCTTTGGAGCCGAAAGATTAAAAGGAAAGCACCAGCCTTGGGTAAGAGGACCTTGTATTATATATATATACATAAACTAATGTGTCAGTTTATATCTTTCTTAATTTTTTTTATTCATATTATTTTTATTATATTAATTAAGGAAAAGGTAATTTTCAATTAAAAAAAAAATAAATTTTCAATTCAATAAAACAACGAATATACTCAATATTTTACATATTTTCTTACAGGAATTTTATGTTTAAATTTTATAAATCTGAAATAACTGCCTTAAACAAAGTAGATTCTAACAAATAAAAAATTCTAAACAATATATATATATATATATAATTACTAATTTGTTGCATAAATTTATCAATAGGAAATAAAATTACGTATTTTTTAGAAACTACTTTAAGACAATTATATATATATATATATATATATATATATATATATATATATATATATACACAACTTGTCGATAAAAATTAAAATATAATTTTGTAGTTACTATATAAAACATTAGTTGATATTCCGATTCACTTTTATACTTATTTTTCTTTTCGAACTATTCCATTTAATATTATTAATATATATTAAACATGTGTAACATATTTATCTCAATTCTGAAATTATTTTATTATATATTTATATGAATATATTATTCATAAAATCTATAATTTCCTAACTTCGTATTATTTAATAGTTTTTGTATGAAACTTGTATTTCATGGTTCATGCACGTTGCTTTTGTCCTTTCCTGTCTGACCAGAAAGGACTTTTACTCCTTATAAATAGTGTATCTTAAATCCTGTAAGCCTTTACATTATATGTTTAGTTTAATTGCAAAAATTTTAAGAGTCCACAATTTATGAAATTTGTATGATAATATTTGTGAGAAATCGTAGATTAGAAAACATTAGTGTATTTTTAACGTTTTTACGCTGGTTTTTTTATATTTCTATTAAGTTTGTCCTTCGATATGAATTTTGCTCAAGTGTAATATATTTTCTCAAACTTCTTTTTATATGTGTAACGCAACTTTTTTTTTATCTAATTTATATTATTAATATGCAATATAATTATTTAAATAATCAAATATTTACGATTGAAATCAATACTAGTATACCAGTATATTTTAGCGTGTGTGTGTGTGTGTGTAAGAGAGAGTAATTATAATAGTCATTTAAAATGTTTAATGAATGAATATTTTGAGTAAAATTTAAATAAAAATTCAAATACAAATTTTTAAGTATATTGTGTAAAAATATACGCATACACATCTACAGTTTTATAAGATAGCTTTACTCGTTCTTTTATGGTTCTTTATTCAAGTATTGTAATAAAGATTAAGCAGTGATGAGTATTTAAAAAAATCCAAGGCCCAACCTTGACTCATATATAATGTCTGTACGCTCTACTTGAAAACGATGTCGTTGTCAAAACGGGGCCGCATATTTTGTCGTTTTTCTACTTCGCCGGAGCGTTTGTGCTAGTGACATTAATATTATAAGCAATTATTATTCAGGGAAAAAATTAATGATTATATGAGTTCAAATCATATAAATTATATCACATCTCAAAATACATATCCAAATATTATGCTCGATGTAGAATTGCATATATTACATTTTTTATATGATAAAGATTAAACAATAAATTTTTTTAATCATGCACAACTTCATGAAATATTAATTCTATGATAACAAATAATATATGTTTGGTATAATTTTAAATTTTCTATCATGTAATTTGTAACATTTTTATTCTAATATTTTTTGTTATCTCTTGTATATGTTTAAAATTTTAATACGATATAAAAGTATTAATAATTTTAATAAATATATTTTAAGATATTTTCTAATATCTCTTTGAATATCCATTAATTCAATATACAATGATATCTAAATATAATTTTTAATTATAATTTCAATAATGCTATAACAAATACAATACAATTATATTTTCAACTCAATCTAGTTATTTATGTGTATCGTCTTTTCTTAACATTATGAATAAGTAACAAGTTTATTAAATTCAGAAAAGTTTCGATAAATAAATATTTTTTCAAATAATTAATTGGTATTTCAATCTAACAGTTAAATATAGAGTAGAAATTATAATCAATTAATTATAGTAAGAATTAACCTTCTCTTTTTGTAAATAATTCAGGTAATTTTATTGCTTTTATTCGTCAATAAGATAGTGCAACTATATTGGCAAAATTGGTAAATAGCGTTTTAACAAAGCAATTTTTTATAAAGAAACAGAGGATAAATATATATGAATGTAAAATTTAAAAAACCAAAAGATTAACAAAAAACTTATAAGAGAAAAAAGATCAGTCTGCAAATATATTAATGGACCAAGAAATAAGGGGTTGCATTGAAAGCATTTTGGAAGGTGTTCGAGCTTTCCTTCAACTATTCAAGGAGCAAAGACCGACCTTGACTACCTCTACTACCGGCATTACGTTCACAAGGTCCACGTGTCCTTGCTTCTGACCATTTTGAAACCTTTCTTCCTTCTTTCTACTAGCCCCACGTATAAATATTAGTTAAATTTAATTCATTGAATCACTTGAAATATTAATTAAATTCAATCTTTAATTTAACTTATGTATTAATAACTTTCAATACTAAAAATAGTATTATACATTCTACTATATTGTACATTATTTAACTATATTTAAAACATTCGATAATACAACTTTATAGTTAGACTGCATTTTTTATATATAAAAAAAATTGTCATAAATACTTTATTCTATCTATTGTCATTGAATATTATATTTTAAGGTTATCATTTTTCTTTGTAGTATAAAAATATTCTATTAATAAAATTAAACTTTTTTAACATAAAATAATGTGAAGCCTTTCATAAATCGTATATTATAATTTACTAAAATTGGAATTCAAAGATATAAAAAAGAGAAAACATATTTCTGTAAGTAAAATTTGGTAAGTAGAATATAATAAGTAAAATCAATTATTATATTTCTTTAAAAAATTATAATTTAATAAGTCTTTAAAGTTTATTTAAATATATATTGTTGCTTTTTTTTTTAATAAATACATTTTATATGCATCATTTTTAAGTTGAACTATTATTTTGTTTATAATCAAGTTAATTCGATTAAAATGAACAAAACTTTTTTATTGGCTACCTTGTATTTACCTATGCATTAAACAGAATTCTTAAAATATCTTTCATTGTAAATTTAAAGTTTAAATATATGAAAAGTTTATTGATAATAATTTCCAAAGCATATTGGTGCATATATTTAATTAACTATTTAGGAATATGAGATATATTATAGACATTTTAATATTATAAATTATTTAAAAGAAAGCAATGTAACGTTATAAATTATTTAATTTTTTATATGTGTTATACAATTTTCTTTATTATATACGAATTGTATGCAAAATTAATCAATATATGTGTTTTCATAAACTTATTTAAATATTTTTTAAAATTTACTTAAATATTTATCTAGAACATAATATATTATAAAATCTCTAATAAATTAACTTTTTAATTATTAAGTGTTTTAAATTATCTTAAGTTGTATATTTATAAAAATATAATTGTTAAAACAAAATATAAAGAATTTATGTAATAAATTTTTTAGTAAATATTATAAACATTACTTATTGATACTATTGATAAATATTATGATTTATAAAAAAAATATTAATTATCATAAATTCTTTCATAAATTTTTATAAATAAATATTATTACATAATATTAAATTGTTTATTTTCAATTTTATAATTGGCATTAAGTAATAATCTGAATATAAGTTAAAGTTTATCTGCCTTTGTATTTATTTTTCTGCCCCTCCTTTTTTTCTGTTGCTTTTTTAATTCTGAGTTATGCATGCTAGTGACGTAACAACTAAGGGACTGGAAAGGTCGTTGATACGGTGAGGTGATGTTAGTATAACTGACAGTGACCGGTGATGGTAACCAACGACCTTGAAGCGTAGCGTGGCTATCGATTGCCGCGCACACACGTGTAGCTTTTCCCTATATTGTTTCTTCTTCCTCCTTTGCAAACTTTTTTTTAACTAAATCTCGGTGACATATCAATGCGTCTTTTGTCCAGTGTCTCTAATATCTTCTATCCAAATATTAATAAAATTTTATAACAAGCACTAAACATCTTATTCGATTATTCTTATTTTTGATTATCGCTAATATATTTTTATATTTATTTTTGTTTTATTATATTATGATTAATTTGAGTTTGTATGAAAAAAATTTTTAAATTAGCTTTTCTTAATTTTTATTAATCATATTTCGTATTGAAATAATTTATTACTTTTTACTTCAATAATAAAGCACCTTTTATGTTTCTATGAATTGTAATATTCAGCGCAAATATTTAGATTAAGGAAACATGATTGTGATATAGAAAACAATATAAAATTATGCATAAATTTTTAATAATTTTTATAAAATTGTAAAATAAAAATCAAAAAAACTTTTTCTTAAAATCTATTTCATTTCGTTGATTTTCACGTCTTTATCCCAGTAAAAGTATGTGATATTTACTTAAATATTTGAAGAAATAAATACAATAAAGCAATTACCGTATAAACATTATTGCTATTTCAGTAATATGCTTTTACTTGTATAGTACTATGTTCTCTTGTATTTAAACTTAATGTGAATTTAAGTAATTTTAGTTTGTATTAGTTAATTTATTAACGCATTATTTTATTTATGATGCTTGAATCCTCAAGATTTATTTTAAATTATTCAAGAATTATTAAAACTCAAAATTTGATTTTAAATTATGTAACATTTTAAATGAAAGCGATAATTATAATTAAGATATAATTAGTGATATAAAGAATAAAACATTTCTCTAGTTTTTTTTACAATTATTCTTTATAAATATTATTATTATTATTAATTATAATAAATAAAGTGTAAATATATAGATTAATGCACTTTGTTTATTTTTGTAAATATTTTAACTTATATTACTATTTGAAAATTTTAATATTTTTTAATTTTATTTAATATAAAACAATGCTATATATTGTAATTGAATAAATAATAGTATATTTTATAAACATTCATATTTCATTTAGCAAGCAAAAGATATTAAAGAGAAAATAAAATTATAAAATAAATTAAGATATTTTACTTTTTATAATAGAATTGTATTATAATATAATTTAAAGGGTAAGGTTGAATTATATTTATGAAAATTCAATACTTAGTCTTATAGTTTATTGAAAAGCAAAGATTTAAGAACAATAGTTATATTTATTTAATGTTGTATAAAAAACAATATTTCATATTTTCCAAAAAGATATTTATCGAAAAAGATTAATGATTTTTAATTCTGTTTTGGTAATATTTAATAGCTAGATAAATCAGTACTTAGTAATTTTTTGTCGATTTATTCAAATAAATAAGAAAAATTAAGTAAAATAAAGAACAGAATGTTTTTTAAAAGTCTATAAGTTTATTATAGATACATTAGTGGCACCTTGTAAGCCATTTGATTGTAATAATTAATTTGAGATATATAATTATAAGTTTATAAAATTAAATGATATATAAAATTATTTTAAGTATATAAAATTGAAAAATGTTACTATGATTATTACTAATTGCAAAAATCACGTTGTTTTAATATTTGTTATAGGAATTCCAGTAAGTGAAATGAAGTATACTATAGACCATACTACGAAGACAATTGTGAAAGAATCGAATGGAAAATTGGAGACTTTGGAAAGACATGTTCCACAATTATTATTAAGGGGTGAGCAAGTTGCTCTAATTGTCAAAATTGACTAAAATAATTATGGCTGTTATTAAAAACTATATAAGTACGATATATATAATATTACTGTAAATCTTTTATATTTTATTGAAATCGCTATTTCTATTTTATATTTTGTAATGCGTAATAATAGATTTAAAAAATATCATAAAATTTTTAGTATTATATTTATGACAATTATGAAGAGTAAATTAATAGATCAATTATTGAATTAGATGAAACATTTAATTAAATATTTCACAGTATTTAAGTGTGGATTATAAGTATCAACGGATAATTATATAGATTTAATCATCAAGAGATCTGGTAATTAATTCAATTACTTCTATTAGCAAAGAAAAATAATACAAATAATTTATATAGATTTAAAAAAATGTATTTATGATTATATTAAAGTATTCTATAAAATAGTGTATATTGATTTTTTATTTAAGTCGTTGACTTCAATAATAGTAACAATGAATTATTTAAATATTTATCAATATTTAAGTACTATCTATTTGTTACAATAGTAATACTATCTATATGTTACAATAGTAACAATAGTAATTACCTATTAATCATTGTAATTCTATCAAAATTTATTTTATAGAACAAGAACGTAATCAATGCTTTTGGTATATAAAATGTAAAGTATTTTTATTTAGTTTTTGTAATATATTAAAATAATGAACTGAAATATTTAAATTTTGTATAATTTTAATAGTGTATACAATTTAAATGACATTTAAAAAGAAAAATATATCTGTACTTATGAAAAATCGGCTTTTTAAGATGCAAAGTCATTGCACTTTTTTCTAAATTTTATCCTTATTTCCTAGTATAAAAATACATTTAATCGGATCGTTAAGTGAAAGCAGCTAGACTGTTTAGAAAGAAGGGGCCAGTTGCAGTCACTCTGTGGGCCCTCTCACTTTCGCTATAGACGTGGAGAAAGCTCACTCTTTATCTCTCTTGCTTTGTGTGTATCCAGCAAACCTCTCTAAACAGATACACGGGTTAATGCACTCATGTAACCATAACCTTATACTTCATACTTGCTAACTTTCCAATCGTAATTTGCTAAATAATTCTCTAGTTTGCGTTATTACTTAATTATTTATATATCTATTCATCTTCTTTTTCATTTCAATTTAATAAAACGCGATACCATTACATACTTATATTTTTATTTCACGACAATCGCTTATAAAAACATTGTGCTATTGATTATCATAATAATTATTGTTATTATGCTTTTTATAATTACTTTTGTTATTCAAATGAAAAATACAGTTATTAATAAATTTATTGTGGAATAATACGAATTCACTCATGTATTCTTACATTTATTTTTATTATCGATTATCTAAATAAATTAAAGAATAAAGATGATTTTTTTTTATTATACGACATATCTATAATAAAAATGAAATATTTATATATTATACATTATATCACAAGTACATATAAATTATTATATTTTATTGATGATATTTTTAGTTTGATATTAAATTTTACATATAACAATTAAAAATTATTTTTACAACTATTTTATTGTTATTTTTCATTTGTATTTATAAAGAGTGTAAAGTGTTATAAAACGAATAAGAACAATAAATCATATGATTAGTTGAACATAATTTTCATTCCTTTATTTACTAATTGTTTATATATCAAATTAATACTTTGATAATAGCATAAAAATAAAAATTTTTGTTACTAACCATCTTCACTAAATTTTTCTTATCATTATTTTTGCATTAGTGCATTGTATCATATTCTATTTTATTGCTAAAATTATATTATTCTACTTAATTATTATGTATTACTCTCATGTATTACAAAAACTTGTATTTATTTAATTACACTGCATTTATCAATTTTGAATTTATTATTTTATAATTTTTTAATTTTTACGATTTAATTCAACGTTAACATGTAATTGAGTTATCTTTTATTAACATGGATATGTTAGTATAAGTAGCATAATGTAATATAATGATATATATATATTTATATTTTAATAATAATGGTTGTCAGAATTACGATTGAAAACATATAAAAAGATTTATATATATTTAAAAATGTCTTTAAAAATATTTAAACTTTTCTTCAATCTGTGGAATATAATAGGATATATGAATATATGTATATAGAGTTTACTGCTTGATCATTATAAATAATTGATCATTGTAAGATAATGCATTTTTATTTAAAACGAGCGATAATTTGAAACAACTTTCATCTTTATATTAATTTTCATTTTGTATAAATATTTTATCTTTACTAAATGTATTATATTATATCTATAATAGAATATATATTTTAATGAAATTAATGTGCATAATTTTTTTTAAAAAATCTTTTTAAGTAAAAAAATATTTGACGAATTATTACGATTAAATATATATAATAACTACTATTAGATATTTTGCTAATTTTACAGCTTTCTTCAAACAATAAAATATAAGAAAATAATGTTTTACAAGAAAGTGTGGGTCTTGTCGGTAAATTACTACAGACTAAGAAAATTTCGTGGCACGTGCGAGTAGTATTTCCATGACAAGGACGTTACGAGCAAATCGATCTAAAAATAATTTTCCGCGTAGATTGATCAACAAGAGCTATTAGTAGAGCGACGATCCCGTCATCATTAATATATAAATATGAAAAAAAAAAAAACAAAGAAGTAAGTAAACACTCATAAACTATTGATATTTAAATCAAATTTGAGTTTTAATGCAGAAACTTTCGAAAAAGAGATAATATGATATAGAAAGTCATTTCAGAAAAAAAATGTCTAAAATGAAAAATAAAATTTATTAATAAATTAAATATATTTTTTGCATTATAAATAAAAAATTTTAAATAATATGTAAATTATTTTATTTAAAATTATTGATATTATATTGAATCGATCTTGTTTTATTTCTGGTATTGGCTAATTTGAACAAAATGAGTAATAATTGAATATATTTTGAGTTAAAAGTGTTGAAAATAAACTTTTAAATGTCCCTGACAAGTTAAGTTACCGAAGTTAAAGTTTGTTACAAGAACTGTATTTTATCTTGTGATAGGCACTTCCTATTCGATTCTCATACAATTCTTTTTATTGTTAAGATAACTATAAAAATGTATATAATTGTAGGTATGATCGTTTTCTAAGTATTTCTATAAGTATAATTTGTTATTAATTTTTTTTTTGTTATTAGATATTTGTTTACATCGTGATTGAAGCAAATCATTGTATATTAAAATACAGTGTTGCAATATCTTTACAATTTTATATTTTATACTTTTTCAATATAATTTGATTATGAATAGCAATCTTAATATTTCAATTTAATTTTCAATATTATATTTCGTAATTTTTTAAAATTATAAAATATAGCAATACTACCCAAGAAACGAATATATTAGTACAGCTTTGTAAATATTGTCCATCAATATCATAAATAGATTTTAAGATGCAATTTTTATGCTTTCTCTTTAAGCTAAAGAAATTTTTATATGGCCCTCATTTTTCACCCATACGTGTTTAAATACTTGAAAACAGATACTCGGACAAAAAGACAAGCTTGTTAAAAACAAGCGATTCTCATTAAGCATTAGACGCACGTGTGCTGACACTAGACGTACATACTAATTTCACAAAGCTAGTCTAGGCAGAAGTGTACGCAACTACTTGTATGTATATGTAGAATGGCAAATTGAGATGCTCATCATAACGACAAGCGACTGCAAAGACCGTGCACAAGTTGAAGTAGAAGTGAGATAAAGAAAAAAAGAAGCAGAAATACGACAAATAAAAATCTGCAATCTTCTTTCCTACTTCTATCCCACTCTTCATTCATCTCTCACGCTTTAGTTATTTCACTCCTTATGTTTGCTTACCTCACTCACAGCAAACTCATGCGCTTCTATAAAATACCGACGATAATAAGCTTGACTCATGGGACCTTCGCAGCTAACAAGGGCCTTGATTTGTGCTACGAGCAAGGTAAAAATTCTGATCTCTCTCACTCTTTCTCTCACACACTCTCCCTCCCTCTCTCTCTCTCTCTCTCTCTCTCTCTCTCTCTCTCTCTCTCTATCTCTGGTTCTGCCTCATGTAATGAATTAATGTATCATATAGTCTAACAAACTGAAATATTACAAATTCTTTATTTTTTTTATTATTATGTATTGATTATATCAATTTGTGTTAATTTTTTTCGTAGTTTTATAATGAATGTAATGCCAATATTAATATAGGACCACTGATATCTGTATCGGTTATAGTTGATAAGCAAAATTTTAATTTAATTTAATTTTGAGTACACATATTAAATTTAAAAAAATAAATCATATTTTACAATACCTTCATGCTTTTAATGATTTATTTAATAAACTTACAATAAAAGATTTATGATAAGATATAAAAGTTGACAAAACTTTTTTATAAAATATTAAATATATAATGCAAATTAGTATTATCAATAAAAATAATATACTATATATGCAAGCAAACATTAAAATGATTAAGAAAAATGCATGATATGTACATTAATAACTATTTCTCTCATTACAAAGATGGTAGTTTTAGCATAAATAAATGCAAAAGAATTTTAATGAATCCTATTAAGGGTGTGAGTACTTAACTTTTTTGGTATTTATACGTAATTTATATTTTAAAAAACTTACATTTTGAAAACCAAGTATAATTAATATGTATATTGATAAATTATTGAAAATATTCAATAAATTTAATGAATTGTAATAATGCTTTGTAAATTAATTTTGTTAATAACTATTATTTATAATATATTTTTTTATATTTTAATGGATAAGAGTTTAATTGAAATAAAATATAATGTATTAAAATGAATAATTGTGTTACAATAATTATTTTTTTAATGATCTATCTTCGAAAGGTATATTAAATTTATTTGATATTAAGACAAATTTTCGAACGTTCATATAAAAATTAATTACAATAGAAAAAATTTGTAAATTTTTTAATGATGATTAATTTTGCGTATAGAATCGGTTAGTGTTAAACAACTAACAGCAAACAGCGAAAAACTGTGAGCGGCCTTCCACGGCCTT